TGCCCCACGCCAGCTTCGCAAAGAAGGCGGCCCCAGCGCCTGCGCCGCGAAGATGTTTGGCTAGCAAGGCGCGAGGGGATAGTACTCCTCGCGCCTGCAGGCTAGACATTGGGGCAAGGCAAGGAGACGCCCCTACACAAACGCTCTCCACAAAAAAATCCCCCCCCCCAAGAAAAAACTGAGCTCGCCCTGGACTGCCCAGGTATACAACCCCAACACGGGAGGCATGGGCGCCCAATGAAGAAAGGGGGATCTGCAAAAGCCAGCGGCCCCTAAGGCGGGAGGTCTGGGCGCCCAGTAAAGAAGGGCAAGTGGTAGGGGTGAGGTTCGAGCGGGGGTTCGATCGGAGGCGACGCCATTGCTTGAGCCACAAAACTGCACGACAGCATTTCATCATCGCCGTCATCATTAGGAACATCACCATCACCGCCATCGCCATCAATATCATAATCATCACCATTTGCATTATCACATGTAGCGTCGCCGCCGTCATCATCATCGACGTTGTAATCGTGGTCAGTCCTCGTTGCGCCAATCGTAGCTGCCTTCCTCATCATCCACGCGTGCTGGCCTTTCTCAGCCGTCCGCTTCCTCCTCGAATCTTCTTCCTGCATTCCTCCTTACTCATTTCCTAAGCCCCTTCCCCTCCCTGTCCTCAAACAACCTTCGAAATCGGTCAGCCCGTGAACTCACTCATCCTCAGATTATCCCTCGTTTTCAGACCACCACCCTTCCCTCATCTTCAGATCGCCACCTCTCCCGCGACCGACGCGCGACCGACGCGCGACCGACCGCTGCCGACGAATCGGTCGCGACCGAGCGCTACCGACTTTACCGCCGCGACCGAGCGCGACCGAAGCGCTATCGTCGCGACCAGTCGCGCCCGGATTTTTTTGGGATTCAATGATCTGGGACCCCCGGTCCCGGACCCCCCCCGGTCCCGGACCCCCCCGGTCCCGGACCCCCTCGAGGTCCCGGACTCCCCCCGGTCCCGGACCCCCCTGCCCAGGGGTCTCTTAGATCTTATTTTAAGATCTAGTTTTTGGATCTTATTTATGGATCTTAAAATAAGATCTAAGACAACATGTATATCATATCATTAATTAAATAGCTATTATCATTAGATAATCTAGTCAGCACAGTCACCGTCATTGTTGTCATCTCGCGGGCGCGCGCGCTGCACGCGCGGGCTCGCCGCGCCCGCCTGCGTAGTGAAGATGCTCTCGAAATAAGGCGACGACGAGGACCGACGACGAGGAGGGCCGACGACGAGGATCGACGATGGGGAAGGCAGACGATGACGACGAGGGGACGACGACAACGGCAGCAGCAGCGGGGCGATGGTAGTTGCTACCTTCTCCGTTGCCCGTGTCCACCTGATATATGTCCTCCCTCCCCTCGACTGCCTCATTCATCGTTTCTGAAGTCGGCTGGTGCTGCCAATCTGCATTCGTGAAGGAGGGGTGACAGCGATGGATGGACGAATGAGGATGAGGAGGAGGATGAGGAGGAAGAGGAGGAGGAACATATCAGAACTCCGATGGTTACCCACGGGAACTGCAGTGCGTAACGCTTCGGCAATCACAAGCAAAAAAAACGCGCGTGCTTGCAAGCCCCAAAGGCGGCTCGAGAAGTTACGTGTATATGATTTTTTGGAGGGGGGTGCAGGGGGTGATGCTTACATCATGGCCACGAAAACGGGTCGCGATGTTTTACGACTCGCATGGTACCACGAGAGTCGTAAAACATCGCGACCCGTTGTCGTGCCCTTGTTCGAGTCACCGCTTTGGCAATTCAAACATAACATGTGGTTGTCACGCCGATGGGGCACAGCTGGCACGATGATTAAGAACAACCTCAGCCTCGACAAAACGTGCATGCAGGAGGGAGTGCGAGTGCTGGATGGAAATCGAGGGAGGGACCGCTACGGTGAGGGCATTGGATATGGAACCATCGGGTTAGAAATCCAGGGTCTGGAAGCCCGTAGAACTCCAATCGTGGATTGGCCATTGATATCACCGCCGCCCTCATCAGAGAAGGAACCATCGATGGTCTGAAGCTTCTTGGGCACATTCCTTAACCAATGCCGCCACCGTATACATTTCGCGCCACTGCGCGCCTGGAGCGCCTAGAACGCCATGCCGTGCGCACACGCACGCCGTCGCTCTCGTGCATTGTTCTCTCATGTGTGGTGTCGTGCGTCGTGCGTGCTGCGACTTACAAAGGCAGGCTCAGCGCTGCCAAATCTGCAACCACGCTGCAAAAACGGGCGGGGTACTCTTTGGATGCAGACTGGCTAGATGTGCTATTGATCCAGCCTGTCTGCCTCCACCCAGTGCGCTTCTCGCTGCCATCGTCCGTGCGTTTGCGCTGCGTGGCTCTAGGGCCAAGCGTATACAAAGGCGTGGCGTCGGCATCCGATGTCAGCAGCGCTTGCTCAGCATCGCGCCTGGAACATCCGAGCAGAGAGCGAGCGAGCCTAGCGTCGTGGTTCGTCCACACAGCCAGCGGCTTCAGCGAGGTCCAGCCGAAGGCGGCCAGGTACACAGTGTATTTGGTAGCGGTCACCAGCTCCAGCATGTCCTGCGGCACGCGCGAGGAGGATAAAGAAAGCGAGGAATGGGAGAGCGGCTGACGCGAGGAATGAGGAAGGCGATGTGATGGAGGATAACATGTCCAGGATCAGAAGGAAATATCATTGCAGATCGGGTCACGGAGGAGGGAAGAGGAGAGCATGGAGACACGGATGATGATGAGTATGGCAGTTGTCACCGCCCCGCCGTTGCCGCCACCGTACGTCGCCATGCTTCAAAGCACTCTTGTAACAAGCGTATCACGGATGTCCTGACCAAGCCGAATCCTAGTGGACGGAGCGCCCGAAGTGGCAATATCATCTGCGCAATCCGCCGTCGCCGCCGTCGTCACGTGACCGGAGAGGCCAGAGTTGCTGGGGCCGCCTAAAGTCAGCCGTCGCCGTCGTCGTTGCCGTCCTCGTTGCCGCTCTCGCATTCACACGCTGCCAATCGTAGGTCGGTGAACCTTTTTTGGATGCGACTTGGGCGCGCCCATGCCGCATCCAAATCGCATCCGCCTGAGTCTCGGATGTAACGATTTAGACGCTGCCTGGGCGCGCCCAAGTCGCATCCCTAACTCCGACTGACCGCGCCCAAATGTATAGGATGTTGCGGGGGGGGTGGACGGTGAGAAGTGGGCATGCTGCGGCACGAACGTGGGTGTCCTCATTCTCCCTCCACCCTTTTCCTCCCCCAATTCTTATTGTATTTAAATTGTCTTCTCATTCGAATACCTCACTCTCTATCTCCTCCCCCCTCTCTCCCTCCAATCTCGCCTTCCCCCTCCCGTCCGCCCTCCCGCCACCCTCCCACAGTTGTTTTCATCTCTCACTCACCATCGAGCGGCTGAACACCCTCGTCAGCGCGAGTCATCCAGGCAGACGCCGACGTCGCTGGTTGCACCAGCCGTAGCATTTTGGCTCGCGATGAGCGGGGCTAGCCGAATTTCACTGTCACGGTGGAGCTCGCGCGCGGCGGCTTGGCACGCCAGTCGCGCAAGGCCACGGCATGACGCGCCGATCGAGGAAGCATGCGATCGCGAACCCCAGACGGTTGATGAATATTTCGAGGTGACGAAGGAGGAGTTGAGCCAGCTGGACGAAGATGAGCTGAGCGAAAACCATATCGACGAGTCGTCCGAGAACGAGAACGATAACGATGACGATGACACGGGGCTCTCCGATCTTGTCGAGCGCCCTCTCGAATCTGGTCTGTCTCTGCCCCGTGTCATCGTCATCGTAATCGATCTTGCTCTCGGACGACTCGTCGATATGGCTTTCGCTCAGCTCATGTTCGTCCAGCTCGCTCAGCTCCTCCTTCGTCACCTCGAAATATTCATCAACCGTCTGGGGTTCGCGATCGCATGCTTCCTCGATCGGCGCGTCATGCCGTGGCCTTGCGCGACTGGCGTGCCAAGCCGCCGCCGCGCGCGAACCCAACCGTGGCAGTGAAATTCGGTTAGCACCGCTCATCTCGACCAACATGCTACGGATTGTGCAACCAGCGACGTCCGCGTCTGCCAACCACTGCCATCCCCAGAGTACGTTATGTCAGCTCCTATGCATCGCCTGCTCCTTCCTCTTCCCCCGACAACGAGCGTAAGGGGCGGTCCTTGACAGATCTCACGTGCCAAAAGATGGAGCACGACGGGTTCTCTAAAATCAACATCACGCCGCGAGCTCGCGCCATGGTCGCAAGCCGCGACCTGGGTGGCCGGCCGTCTGGGGCGGTGGGGCGTCCGCGGGAGCGCGCGTCACGCTCTCCTGCCATCCCCTCATCCTCATGCCCCAGTACCCGACCTAGCCATCCATCATCACGATTTCTGAGGCGATGGACGAGATGAGAGAAGTCACTTCTCTCATCTCGTCCATCGCCTCCCCGCCTGATCCGATCACCCCCCCGCGCCTGCGGCCGTCGGGGAGGGGGGTGAGGCTGGAGGATGATGCCGATGGGTGACGAGATTTGATGACGAGATGGACCAAGTAGTTCGTAAAGTGATCTCGCTCTCTCTCTCTCTCTCTCTCTCTCTCTCTTTCTCTCTCTTTCTCTCTCTCTCTCTCTCTATATTTAGTTCTCCATGTATGCATCCTTCCTCCCGTAGTCTTCGTCTCTCTCTCTCTTGATCTCTCTCTCTCTATGTATATATATAAGTATCACTCCATTTCTCTTCTCTCTCTCTCTCTCTTCTCTCTCTCTCTCTCTTCTCTCTCTCTCTCTCTCCCCCCTATCCCTCTTTCTCATGTCTCCTCTCGATCCACCTCGTTAGCTCTACTTCGCTGCTGCGTGCGCGACTGCGCATGCGCCAGCTTCACTCGCGATCGCATCGCTTCCGCGATCCCTCCGCCAGACCGCGACGCGGAAGCGAAACGAGATAGCTGAGGGTCCCACACTATTTCAGCCACGAAGTTGGCCTCTAGCACATCCCTCCTGCCCTCGTCGCCATAGATGCCGTTGAGCCTGTCCCGCTTGGTGTGGTACACCGTGGTGTTCAACCACGTGGAACACTCAGGCTCAAACATTACCGAGCCGTCAGGCTTGACCTGCATGACGCCCAGCGCGCACGTGAGGAGACCAAGCAGCGTGCACACGTCTTCAGTCTCATGCGAGGTTCGCCTGGGCGTGAGCGCAGAGGAACGCGTCGGGTGCAACTTGGACGCAACTTGGACGCAACTTGGGCGTAACCTGGGCGCGTCCAAGTCGCGTCCAAGTCGCACCCGCGCTCTCTGCGCTCTATGTGATGGTGTGAGTTGTCGAGGGGCTGATGTGGGGTGTTTGCCCCGTCTAGTGGCCTGTCGAACCCCCGTGCTTTGTAGCCTTTGGCGATCATCTGCTTCGTGATGCCACCAGCACCGCAGAACACTTCAAAAAAATCCAAATAGCGGTCGATTGGTACGGGTGCGTCCCCCCTCAGCCACATGCCAACCTCATTCACAGCAACCGCCATCAAACCATCCGCATTATGTTCGTTGAGAATGCGGCCCCCCTCCTCTGGCACGAGCACTCGCACCCTATCTACCAGCCAGCTTGGCGCCCCGTTGCCCAAACCCAGCACCTCGGCCATGGCGTTTGATAGGCGTGGCGTAAATATATCTAGACTGTCCGAGGGCTCCAATGAGGCGGGCGTGGTGGTGAAGCGTCCTGCTGAAAGTCAACCGGTGGCAGCGCTGGGCCAAATTGCGCACGGTCAAGTTGAGGGACTCGTCTGTGAAGGTGGAGTACAGGCGAGGAGGGCCAAAGATCCATATCCTTTTAGGGCCAAGGGCTCAGTCGATCGAGTGATCGGCTCCTCGCGCACGCAACCATGATTTTCACCCCAGCCCCCGAGCGCGCAAGCACAAAAACAATTGAGCTGACACGATCACGACTTTGCTTTTACATCGTGCGCACGAGGAACCGATCGCCCGCGACGCTGAGCGCGGACTAGATTGTGCACGGATCTCAGAAACGAGAGGGGAGCAGGATTGGGGAGCAGGATTGGGGAGCTGTGAGGGGCGTGCAAGGGACGTGGTATATACGTGCGGAGTGTGCACCACGATTACCAGGGCATGATGTGGCATGTGCATTGGTGTACAGCGGGGGTGGGTGTTCCTCCTTCACATCGTTCTCCCTCTCGCTCCTCGTTGCGCATCCCCCCTCATGCCGCCCACCTCCCCCTCTTGCCTTGCCCTAGTCCTAGGAGAGGAGTGGTGATGAGGAGGGGCGAGGCGGGTCCTGTGAGTAAGATGACAGAATAAGTGCCATTTGGGTGTGAGCCTCACCTGTGCGTTCTGCGCGTGCACCACGACGCGCGCGGCGCTGTCCAACACAGGCGTGTAGTCTTGAATGGTCGGGCGAGCGTCCATGTCTTTGCACACTGCGAGCCACGACAACAACGCGTCAATCGACATCATGAGGGACGCCGCATGCGGGACGCGATCGTAGTATGTAACCAACAAATACTTGCAGAATGGAAGTAACGAAGACATCTCTGCCCCCTTGATTTTCATGGGAACGCCTGGGTGGGGGGCACCTCGCTTCCGATTTAACTTGATGGTACCTCCGATCATGCCTGGAGTGAGCCTGCCGAGCCTGGCCTCCTGCGGGATTTTCTGGAGCTCGTACCACGCGTGCAATTCAGACTCCATGTGCTTCACTCGCTGTGCGATCGCTCTCTTGCGTGCCACATTCGCGTCGATCACCCTCCAGAAAATCACCGAACCAAGCCTCTGCGCAACGCCCAGGTGCACTGTGTGTAGCACGTCTAGGCCTAACACCGAGAATGGCGTAGATCGTAACATGTCCGAGAATATTGGGCTGCGATGAGACACTGGGTCCAGGCAGGTGCCTTTCTCGTCCCTGCTGGCTCTCCAGAAAACGCAATCAAACGGCAACGCCTGCGTCCAAGCATCTCTGACGTCTACAAGCCCTGGCGATGGAAGCAACTGGTCATTGAGCTCCAAACCTACACCCTCTACCGTCTTCGTGACAACAAGGCCCCCCAGCTTCTTCGGCTCTGGGTCACAAAAACTCAGCATCCCTAATATCTGCTTTCGTTTGGGCTCCGAATCAATGCGAATAGTGCGTTCACAACGCCGACAAGCTTCATAGTATGACGGGGCCGTGCGATCCTCGAAGGGGAGGCCATCGGGACACAAAAAACCAGGATACGTCACATGGAGGGAGTCCAACGGCGCCACGCAGCACGGGCAAGGGGCGAACACGCTGTTCCACGGCGATAGCCCGAAACTCTTCTGAAACTCTGCCCAGTCCCCCTTCGCGTACAGCAACACTGCCCTGCACCCGAGATCCTTTCCCGCTTGCCCAACCCGATCCCAAGGTGAACCGTCGTACTTAGTAGGGGGGGAGGTCCCATTCACCAACGCTTTGAGCATCCACTCCACTACATGCATGAAGCCGTACAGCGTGCAGTGCCCACTACACCCACACAAGCATTTGTCAAGCGTGCGCAAGAAGCCGATATAATGACGCGTATGTGTAATCAAGTTGACCACGCTGACATTGAGGACGCTGTCTGTGCGCCCTGCGTGCAGCGGTGAATACCGCACCGCGTCTGCGTACAATGCTATGGGAAGGGGCCACTTTCCAGTCTCAGCCAGGGACTGTTCAACGTGTGGATGTGATTGGTATGCACGTGTCATCATGACAGATTGGACGTCGTCCGTTCCTTCTTCGAGTAAACGTGCCGTTTCGCTTGATAGTTTAACTTCCTCAGAAATCGATTCGAAAACGAGCTGCACGAACGTCGACGATTTAGTCAAATGAGATCGACCACGAACCGCCATGGGAAGTTTCACGCTCATCAGTTCCCCACCACTCGGAAGAAGCCTATCTAAGTGATCTTTGTACTTGCCACTTTGTTTTCCAGGGGGCATGCCCCACAACTCCCAGTGAGCCCCACCCACATCTGCAACATCACAATAATGACATGCTATTGCCAAGTCCTTAGCTGAGACCTGCCTCCCAGACGCGTAAATACCAACCAGATGCTCGAAAAGAGCCGCACCAGCAGCTCGCTTCTGAATACCATTGCGGCCAGACTTAAACTTCCGACCGTGAAGTTTGGTGCGTGCCATGCTGAGGGGAAGGTTGCACTGCTACGACTCGTGCCAGAACTGCTGCCACACATTTGCACATACATTCGATGCCCTTTCCCTCAGCATATCTCTCAAACGCAGGCTGCACTAACTTTCAAACGTGAAAGTGCTGGCTCGAGACATGTGGCCGGACACACTCATGATTGTCGCATGCTTCCCGTGTGTGACCCCATCCATGGCAGGTGCGACTTGGACGCGATTTGGACGCGTCCATGTTGCGTCCAAGTTGCGTCCAAGTCGCGCCCGCCACTGTGTTCCCTCCCTCCATCCCTCCCTCAACCCTCTTTCCATCCCTCACCCCTCCTTCCCTCCCTCTGCGATCTTCTACTCTCCACCCATCCGTGCTCCTAGAGATCACCCCTGAATCATTATGTCGGTGTCCGACCGATCAGCGCAGCATCCGAGGATGAAAAGTGGCTGGCGCGCAGCCCGATACTGCACCAAGCCGACTGGCTCGGCGTCAGGACTGCAACCCCCGAGTCCTGAACTAGAAACTCTGTGCGCGCCAGCGTGACGCATGCCAGTGCGGTAGCTTGCTGTCTCTGCCTATCCATTATGTGCCATCTCCCTCCAACCTCCCTCCTCCGCTCATCGCCTCTTTCGCTATCATTATAACATTGCCCTTTTCTCCTCGTCCGATTCCCCGTCCCTCCCTCCCTCTCCCTCTCTCTATCTCTCTCTCTCTCTCTCACTTTCTTTCTCTCTCTCTATATATATATGTATGTCTACACGTACATCCTCATATCTCCCTCTCCCCTTCCATGCGCTTCGTTCTATACCACTATCTCTATCTCAATCTCAGTCGCTGTCTATCGCTCGCTCTCTGTCTCACTATCTCTTTCCTGGCCCCCTCGTTTCACCTCCATTCGGGCCCTCGCTCTCTGCATCCTCGCCCTAACTGCCTCATCTCCTTACCTTCCTCGATCTAATTCTCGCTCTCACTCGTTCACTTGCATTGTGCAATCAATGATCTCAGTTTAAGAACCAGGACATATAGCTGGGCGTGGTCGGGCGTGGCCGAGCGTGAGGGAGATCTGATTTCCGCGTCCGAAGTCTGAAGGGCGCAATTTGGACGGACTTGGACGGCAACTTGGACGCGTCCAAGTTGCATCCAAGTGAACTTGGACGGTGCGTTTTGCGTTTATATATATATATATATATATGGTTTGATGCCGTTTTGGACGGCAACTTGGGCGCGTCCAAACTGGTCTGGATTTGGACGGTACTCGGGCGCCAGATTTCCGGCCGGAGCGTGGTTTTGCTGGGTCGGAGGGGGGTCGTAAGGGTCGGGGGGGGCGATTTGGGGTGGCTCGGGTGTGTTTTCATGGTGTCGGCTGTGTTTGGGTGGCACATGCACCTCGCCACAGCCAACTCGCCTCAAATTCACACTGAGGCACCGTCCTGGTTCTTACTTTCTTGCTACGCACCGGCTTGCAACTGAAAAAAGCTAGCTACGCCGCTGCGGCGCCCTGCGCCTTCTTGTCAGCCTTCTTCGAGCGCGCCTGCTTCTGGCGGTGGATCGACTTGATCTCCTCAGCCATGTCCGAGAGCGGCTTTGCGATCTCCTGCCCTCCCTCCCCGCGTTCTACTCTCGCGATCTGCTGATTGCTCTGCCCCCCTTTGTCGGCGGCAACCCTCACAGCCTTGCGGTGAGGACATTGGATAAGGAACCATCGGGTACGGAATCAAGGGTTTGGAAATTAGTGGAATGCAAATCGTGGATTGGCCATGGATAGCACAGCCGCCCTCATCAAATAAGGAATCCCCTAGGGTGTGAAGCCCCCTGGGCGCATTCCTTAACGGACGCCCCCACTGTATTGGCGTTGCCCATTCCACAGCTCATTCTTGACCATCCCGCACGAATTCCCATTCATCTCCCAACTCCATTCATCTCCCAACTCCTACTGGTCATCGAGCCTCTCTCCCTCTGAGACGAGGAGGGCGAGGGGTAGGCGACGTGGAGGGATGACCAGACAGATGGCGGGCATGCCGAGGATGACTGGGGCGAGGCTAAGACGAACGAGGACGAGGGCGAGGAGTAAGGAAATCGCCAGGGTAAACCCAGCATGCCACGCACCCCCCTTTCCTTGGTGAGCTTCGTGATCTTGACCTCGAACTCGGCGCTGCCAATGCGGTCCTGGAGCTGCTGGATGTTCGTGTAGGGGCTCATCGCCTCCTCGTAGAAGATCTCGCTCGTCATGGCCGCGCGCACCTCCCCTCCAGGCAATGGCCGAGCCCCCCCCCCTCCCCACGCCCGCCCTCCGCACCTCCTCCTCATGTACGTCGTCACCTGCCACCAGTTTCCTCGTCCTGCTCGTCCTCCTCACCGACCTCTTACCTTATCACCCCTCGTCCACATCCTATGCCTCATCGTCCCATCTGCCTCACCGTGCTCCTACTCGCACCAGGCTGATCATCCTCCTCCTCCTCCTCATCTTCTTCATCCTCACTCTCCTCCTCCACATCCGCCCTGTCCTCATCACGTCCCACATCTGTCCTCGCTGAGCGCTGGGGAGGCGGGGCCATGCGACGATGGATGGATCGGATGTGACCAGAGGGGGATGAGGTGACGGAAGATATGGAGGATATGGATGGTCCAGATGACATATCACCCGTGCTTGCAGTGGGGGCAACTGCCCACTTGTGCCTCGGCTGTCGCGATGCATCCCTGTCGGCACCGCTCGCCGAGCCTAGCACTGCCTGTTCTCTGCATCTCGCGGCGACGGCAGCGCGTAGCTTGCTGTAACCTGACGTCGGCACAGTGCGCTCAGAGCCCGAACGTGTTGTCGGCTCTCTCCATGGCGTCGAAGAGCCCGCCGCCAGCGCCGAAGACGTCAGCCATCGCCTGAACGAGCGGGACCGCTGGGGCATGCGGTTCGATGGGGGGCAGTTGGTGGCTGGAGCTGCGCCTGGTGAGCTTCGGGTTCAACTGCTGCTGAGGCGAGGCGCTGCTCAACCTTCCCACCTTCGAAGCGGGCGGTGACGTCGGTTCAGGGGTGCTCAGCTCGATCCTTGTCTGCATCGTCCCACTCGCGCCACTCTCCTTGCTCGTGCGGCGCACCCTCTTCAGCTCGGGCTTCTTGTCATCCTGTGCCGAGGCCTCCGCGCTGCCAGCCGGCTGCGCACCCGCCTCGGGCTCAGGGGCGGCGAGCGCGGCCCGCTTCGCCGCAGCAGCGGGCGATGCCGCAGCAGGCCTCTTCCTCGCGGCCGCGCCGCTGACCTTCGCCTTCACCTCGGTGCTCGGGGAGTCCTTCTTGCCCTTGCCACTGGCGCCCTGGTCGGACTCGCTGGCCGCGGCGGCGGCAGCCAGCTTGGGCGGCCGTCCCCGCCGCGCGGGCGCAGCCGCCTCGGGCGCAGCAGCCTCGGGCGCCTCCCCGTCCTCGTCGGCGTCGGCTGGCACCTCGTCCTCATCCTCGTCGCTCTCGTCTCCTGCATCCTCGATGCCATCTCCCTCCTCGGCCACATCGTCCTCTCCCGCGCCCTCGCCCTCGAAGACGTCGCCCTCGGTGTCGTCGTCGTCCACCCTCTTGGGGAGCTTCGGCATCGCCTTCCCCTTCGCCTTGGCGCGCCCCTTCGCCTTCGCCTTGCCCTTCAGCTTGGCAGTCTCCTTCGTGGCGTCGCCGACCTTCGCCTTGAACTCTGCGATGTACTTGCGCTTGACCTGCTCGACCTCCTCCTTGGTCGTCTTATTGTGCGCTAAAAGCTCCGCCTGCTTCGTCAACATCTGCTCGTAATTCTCCATGCCAGCTTGAGGTATGAAGCTGATCAGCATCTTTTTCCTGATCTTCGAGGCGGCGTTCTTGGGCAGCTGCCAGATGCCGAGCTCCGCGGAGCCCTTCCTGGTCCATCTGCTGAGCTGGATCTTGTCGTCCTCGCGCTCCATCTCCCAGATGACGCCCGCCCCCTTCTTGGTCTTGAAGTCGACGCTCGTCTCCGCCCAGTCGCGCAAGTTCTGGAACGTAAAGCCTGGGACGGTCACCACGGTGCCGTCCTTGAACTTGATGGGGACCTCCGTCTCGGCCGAGGCCGACTTGTCGTCCGCCAGCGGCAAGCTGTACTCGGGCGCGGGGTTGGCCTTGCTCGAGTCCAGACGGTATACGCCCTGATGCGAGAGGAGGGACAGACTCCGATGGAACTGGCGTGCCGATGGGCAATTTCTCGCAGCCCCGTAGCACGCCAGTTTCATCGGAGTCTGTTCATCAGATGTTGGCCTTGGAGACATCGTCTAGTGCGTACAGCCACGCTTTCTCCTCAGCATGCGTGCTCACACGGGCGAGGGGGCGAGCATCGGGGTCGATGTGTTCGCTCAGGCAGCGATGGACCAGTTGCTGGAGTCGCGACTCCTCGACGATTCCTCCTCGACTCATCCACAGCTCCTCCCGACAGACGACAAGGCCCTCGGACCCTTCCCCAACTCACCCCGTCGCCCATGTGTCACTGTGCTTATTGGCTGGCTCCTCCGCGCTCTCGAGGGCCCGCGCCGCCTCGACGAACGGGACCACCCATCTGGAGGTCGATGGGATGTCCTGAGTCCTGGAACGAATAATGTCGCCCTGAAACCCATTTCGCGCTCGCGGGCGCGGGGCGCACACCCCGTGCCGAGCGCGCGCGCGCGCTTGTGCGCCCCGCGCCCGCAAGCGCGAAATGTGTTATAGGGCAGATGTGTCACGCTGAGGTCCTACGATTCTTCATCTTGATCACAGCCTGCTGCACGTGGCGCAGCATCGCCCTGAACATCTTGGACGAGGTGTCCGCCCAGCTCGCCTCCTCGGCCCCGAGGTTCCAGCTCGCCCCGTTCGCCTCGAGCACATCGACGAACATGGCTTTCCCGCACTTCTGGGAGATCGACGTCTGCGGGTACATCGCCTCGCGCGCCGCCAGCATCATGTCTTTCCACGCCGTTATCGTGTCGCCATCCACGTCGCCGTCGAGGTCGGTCGTGTAGTCGAGCTCGTCTGCGGTCGTCACGTGCTCCTTGAGCACTGCCAGCAGAGCCGTGCCGCCTTGGCTCCGCGAGCGAGTGCCCGCCATGGCACGGCGGTCGCCTGCCCGCGAGCGCACGCCTGACGACTGCGCCAGGCGCTGAGCCAAAATGGCTCCACCGATGAGGGAGTGGATGATGGTGTGCGAGATGGCAATGCGGAGGGAGGACAGAAGGGCGTGGAAGATGATGAGGATGACGAGGGCGTGGATGGCGAGGTGCGTAGGGGATGGAGGGGTATTGCAGTAGAGGAAGACACCAGCGAGTGGGGTGATGATGAGGAGGATATGTGCCGGCCACGCCCCAGCCCTGTGGGGCACTCTGTGTTGCGCACTGCGCATGGCACGAACGAGTCGTTAGTGTCGCCAGCTACGAGGTTTCTGCGCGACACGATGTTTCGAATTCGTTTCGGGTCAGGGCGAGCCGTTCTGGGAACGGGCAAGCACATGCATCCATGGTCCACGCGCATGCGAGTTTGGACGCAACCTGGACGCGACCAGGTCGCGCCCAAGTCGCGTCCAAACTCGAGCGGGACCAGCGCGGCCCACGGACGCACATGCCCGCCCGTGCCCATGCGAGATGGGAGATGCCCTCCATCCCCATCCCCCTGGCACCGTCTCATGGAGCGCGTCCATATCCCCGCGGATGTCCTCGCCTTTGGCGAACTTCCAGTCCCTGTCGGCGAGGATGAGGTTGTCGATCGTGGAGACCTCCCCTCGCCGCCCCCCCGTGTGCCTCCTGCGCCTAACCCTGCGCGCTCCTGCTCATCCTTCCTGCCACGTCCCCCAACCTCTCCCGTCCCCGATTCGCCCCCTCCCAAGGCCATCCCTCATCACAACACCTTCCCTCGTCCATCGACGCCTTCCCTCGCTGGCAGCAGTCGCGCGAGGCGGAGTAGGCGGGAGGTGTCATGCGGAGCAATGACGGAGAGATGCGAGGGTAGGTGATGAGGAATGGGGATGTGACGTCGACTGCAGACCCGCAGAGGGAAGTAGAGGAGGATGGGCTCGCAGGGACGAGCGAGGCCTGATCCTATGGTCGGTCCTCCCGTCCACCTACTCCCACTCCTCGTCATGCACTCTCGTCGTTAAGCTCTTTCTAATCATCGACCTCGCCTTTACCCCTGCTCCAGTCCTCCGCCCCAGCTCTCATCACCTCCTCGCCTCGTCATGTCCCCTCGTCCCCATCCCCTCCTCACCTCCTCAACAAAGGTCAATCATTGGTATCACTGTCGCATTCGACGTCGTCAACCTCGTCATCGCCATCGTCACCTGCGATGGCCATCCCCCTCCCCGCTGCGCCCGCCCGTGCGGACCTGGCTCGTGGTCTGCCCGTAGAGCGCCTTGACCTTGCGGAACTCCACCATCCACTGGGGCTGCTTCTTGGCGACCTTCTTCTTGGTGTCCTCACCCTCCGTCTTCGGCTGCTGCTGCTCGCTGGGCACGTCGGTGTCCTTGATCTCGCCAGGGGGCGGCGTCTTCTTGGTGCTGTGCTCGTTGGCCTCCCTCAGCTGATGCAGCGGCGTCACCTCCACCACTGGCTGCTGCTCGGGAGACGGGGCCGCCGCCGCCGCCCTCGTCGCCGGCGCCCCGCGGCTGCAGCGCTGAGGTACGCCAGCGCCGCCGCCGCCGCCGTTGCCGAAGCCCCCCTCCGCCCAGGTCTCGTGGCTGGACCACGACTGGACCCACTCGTCCTCCAGTGACCGCTCCACGAAGAGGTACATGAGCGTGTCCGTCATGCTGCACCACCTCGTCCAGATGCCCCCCATGATGATCGCCTTCGTGGCGTAGGTGAAGGCCATCCTGGCCCCCTGGGCCCCTCCGCCGAGCTTCCGCGCCATCCTCGCCAGAGGCACGTACGTGCCTGTGAGCTTCTGCTTCTTCGAGTTGGTCGTGGACTTCTCGAAGCGCCTCTGCTTCTCCCAGTTGGTGAAGGCCCACCTCGCCCACTCCTCGCGGACCGCCCGCTTCGCGGGGTAGCCCTCCGCCTGCGCGTACTTGTCTGCCCACGCATTCGTGCCCTTCATCACGCGGTCCCACCTGCCAGCGACGGGGTTGCCCTTCTTCTTCTCCGTGCTGAACTTGAAGCCCTTGGCCTCCAGGGACTCCCACAACTCCCGCTCCTCGCGCGCGGAAGTGGTCTCCTCCACCGCCCCGTCGTCGGCCTCGTCGATGGTCTTCTCGCGCGCCTCGGGCCGCATCTCACGCAGCTTGATGATCAAGTCGCCCTTGTAGAACTTCTCGAATGTCGCATCCGCCTGCAGCAGGTCCGTCTCGGGGTCAGTCGACTGCATCTTCGCGCACGCTGCCTTCAGCTGCGCCACCAGGGCCTCCTTCGAGATGCCAGTCATGTCGCCACCCCTGGTGGCTGTCGGCTGCTGCTTCCCAAGCAAGGTCGGCAAGGCCTGGTGCTTCGGCCCCAACGTGGCGGGCCGATGCTGCTGCTGCGGCTGCTCCGACAGACTGACGGCCAGCCCGCGTGGCGGCGTGGGCGGTGGCGACGCCTCGCGCAGCGGCGACAACTCGCTCGCTGGCGGGCACGCCTCGGCGGCTGCTGGAGCCGCGCGGGGTGGCGTCGACGCGCGCCGCACGGCGGCCTGCCTCTTCCTCGGTGGCGCTTCGGGCTCGCCTCCGTTTCCCCCCTGCGGCCGCTTGCTGCCTCCACCCTCGGTGTTCATCATCCTATCGTACAGCATCGTCTCCTCCTCGTTCATCCCCGCAGGGCGATGCTCCGCCCTCTCCTCCGCCGCCATCATCTCATCGATCTCATTCAAGATGGCCTGGTAGCTGTCCTGCCTGTCGGGGAGAGGCGACGCCTCCACAGTCTCGGGCTGCTTGGTGGAGCGCTGCACCGCTGCTGCTGGCTGGCTGCTGGGCGGGCGCCAGTCTGAGGCCTGCGGCTGGCTCGCGTCGACCGTCGCCTGATCAATCTTGGCCCTCTTGGCCGCCACAGCGGACAGCGGTGCCTTGCGTAGGCGACCAATTGAAACCGACAGTCTCGAGTCACATCGAGAGGGGGGTGCCCAGTCGATGCAACTCGCAACTCGAGGCTGTCGGTATCAATTGCCCCCCGTAACGCCTCGTCGTCCGAATCGATCTCCACCACGGGCACCGCGGGCTTCGCTGCTGGCTTCCCCCAGCCATCGGGCGTCAGCACCCAGCCAGCAGCGCGCAGCTGGCGGCTCCTGGTGGCCTCCTCGCCATCCTCGCGCGCAGGTGCTGGCGGCGCGGGCGGCTCCTGGCGGCGGAGGGCGGCGGCGTCCTCGGCGAAGACGCGGTCGAATGCGAAGTCGCCGCACTCCGCCTCCGCCGCCACCATCGCCGCGCCGACCTGCGTCTCCTCTGCGACCTGCGTCTCCTCCGCGACCTGCGTCTCCTCCGCGAGGTTCGTCTCCTCCGCGAGCTTCGTCTCCTCCGCGAGCTTCGTCTCCTCGGCGACCTGCGTCTCCTCGGCGACCTGCGTCTCCTCCGCGCGCTGCGTCTCCTCGGCGACCTGCGTCTCCTCCGCGCGCTGCGTCTCCGCCTGGGCTGGCGGGGGGATTGGTGCCGACGTCGGATCCAAGTTCGAAGTGGGTGCCGCGGGGTGGCACCCACTTCGAACTTGGATCCGACTTCGATGCGGGTTCCAAGGGGCCCTAAGATGGCTCAAGACGAGCCCCAAGACGGCCCGAGGCGGCCCTAAGATGGCTCAAGACGCGCGAGCCCGTCCGAGGTCATCGGCACCGCCATCCTCATCGTCATCCTCCTCCGACCCTCCATTCCTCCGCCTCTCCTTCCTCATCCTGTACCCTCCCCCTTTCCTTGCCTCTCCTAGACGTTTCCCGATGCTGGCCTGCGCCGCAGCGCCAGCAGCGCCAGCGCCGCCGGCGCCGCCGGCGCCGCCGCCACCGCCGCCAGCGCCGCCGCCTCCAGCCTCCTCGAGTGGAGGAGGGGTGGAGGAGCAGAAGTGAGGAGGATCATGAGGATGAGCAGGATACTTAAGAGAGTTAAGAAGAGTAGGAGGATGCGGTCCATCGGGACGCGGCGGACGAAGCGCCAGATGTCCACGAACCGCGGCGGCGGAGGCGGCGGCGCCTGCTGCACCATGCGCTCGAGGCACCAGCGGTTTGGTCGAGTGGTGGTGTTGTTGTTGCTGTGGTGGTGTGGTGGTGGTGGTGGTGGTGGTTGTGGTGTTGTTGTTGCTGTTGCTGCTGTTGTTGTTGTTGGTGGTGGTGGTGGTGGTGTGTTGTTGTTGGTGGTGTTGTTGCTGTTGTTGTTGTTGTCGTGGCTGTTGTTGTTGCTGTTGTTGTTGTCGTAGTTGTTGTTGTTGGTGGTGTTGTTGTGTTTGGTGTTGTTGTAGTTGAATGTGTTGGTGCTGTTGTACATCGACTATGGTTTGTCCAAACTTGTAGGTTAACATACTAAGTTTTGACATTGTAAATATATGATATGTATAAGAAAAAAGATCGATTAGGAGTGTTCTTATTTCCTGAAATCAAGATGTTCCAAAAATAAGATCTTACATACTGGATCTTAGAATAAGATCTATGAGACCTCTGGGTGGTCCCGGACCCCCCCGGTCCCGGACTCCCCCCGGCCCCGGACCACCCCGGACCCTCAGGTCCCGGAACCTCCTGGACCCGTTCCGGACCCGGTCCCGGACCCTTCCCGGTCCCGGACAATTCCCAGACCACGCCCCGGTCCCGGACCCTCACGGTCCCGGACCCCTCCCGGTCCAGGTCCCGGACCCCCCCGGTCCCGAACCCCCGGACCACCCGGTCCCGGACCCTCCCAGTCCCGGACCCTCCCGGCCCCGCACCCCCGCGGTCCCGGACCTTCCCGGTCCCGGACCACCCGGTCCCGACCCGGCCGGTCCCAAACCCCCCCCGGTCCTGGACCCCCCCCCGGTCCCGGACCCCCCCCGGTCCCGGACCCCCCGGCCGGACACCCCCCGGTCCCGGACCCACTCGGTCCCGGACCCCCCCGGTCCCGGACCTCCCCCGGTCCCGAACCCCCCCTAGAAGACAAGACATCGTAACCAAATCACGCGCCCAAAGTATTGTAATTTACCATGGTTTGTTGCGCGCACGTGCGTAACCAAATCGGCTTCTTGTTGAGCCAAGTCTGTATGAGAGGGGTGCATTGTTTTGATTTGGTTGCGCGCACTTTGATTACGAAGTGTGATTTGGATATGATTTGGTGATTAAAGTATTAGATTTGGTTACGATTTGGTTACGCTATATCAAATGTGGTTACGATTTGGTTACGTTTCCATATGGTTACGATTTGGTTCCGATTTGGTTACGATTTGGCAAAACGGGGTCCGTCGTGGCCCATGTCTTGACCAGCCCATGGCCCATCCCTGGTGGAGCCTATCCCTGGTGGGCCTGTCCGTACACACACACACACACCGTGTTACATCGTGATTCACTCCTTTCTCCCTCAGAACCTCTCCTATGTCTCGCCGCCCCTACCCCGTGCCAGAGCTCTCTCTTCAAACATTGATCCGAGCTTGTCCCCACGGGTCTAGCACCCACCCAAACAGAGCCCTCCACCATATCTTATGCCTCTTCAGTGCAGACCCCCCGCGCAAGTCGCTTCTTTGAAATCCACACTCCTCATTTTCTTCCTCCCCCCTAGCACCGCCAAGTTTCAATCCTGTATCCCCGCACCTAGTCCTTCTTCAGAGCCTCCCTCTCCAAGCTGCCTCCTCCCCTCCAAGCTTCCTCCTGCCCTGCCATTCCTGTGATACTTCCTGCAAGCCTCATTATCACCCCCGTCTGTTTCGGCCTCCCTCAAATTCTTCTTCCAAGCCTCCTCCCTCTGATCTTCAAACCCCGCGTCGAAGCATCAATGCGTCAATCTTCCTCCTGAGCCCTCGTGCTCTCACCGTGCTTCCTTCCTCCTCCTCCCCCCTCCTCCTCCTCCACCTCATCCTCCTCCTCCTATTCCTCCTCCTGCTCTACCAGCTCGGCAGACTCCCCCCTGCTCCGCCCGCCCCCATCTTCAGCCCCATCGGCAATGTCGAACATGGTCGTTTCGATATGCTAACGGTTTGGTTATAATTTGGTTGTGATTTGGTTACGATTTGGTTATGATTTGGTTACGATATATGCAATTTGGTTATGATTTGGTTACGAAGCTTTGAAATATGGTTACGATTTGGTTATGCGAACATCTTCCCGGGAAGATTTTGGTTACGGGGGTGTTGAATGCATTTTGATGGCTCAAGTGTCTGAGGGGTCGATCGTAACCAAATTCTTCGCGTTTTGGTTACGCGCAACAGTTTCGAGCGTAACCATATGATTTGGTTACGTACACTAGGGTCCCGGACCGCCTCCCGGTCCCGGACTCCCCCGGTCCCGGACCTCCCCAGACGCTCAAACTCTTCTATATATACAAGATTCTTGTTAATATAAAAGAGAAGGCCAGCTGGACATATGATTTAAAAACACAATATAAAGATTTCTGTGAAGCCCATCTTGAAAACCATTTTTTTCTTATATATATATATATAGCGTGAGCACATTTATCTATACATGTGTTTCTTTTACCTTCATGTTTTAAAGATGGCCCCGCCTCGAATTGTTTATCCTCTCTGTTGTGTATTTGCGCGTGTTGCCACATAACAGCGGGGCGTGCACTTTATACATATACATATACACGTATATAGATACACATACATATATATATATATATGTATATATATACATATATGAGTTCGAGCGTTTCACGCGCAATGTTCGTTTAAATGCGGTGGGTGTCTCCTCGCCGTAGCGCTGGTCACATTCCATATTCGGAGTAAGTAGCTCTTCGCCTGAGCGTTGGCTAACATCCCAGCTCGAGGGTCCTGGGGTCGGGGTCCTGGGCCCTGGGGTTTCGGATCCTGGATCCTGGGGTTTGGGAAGGCCGTGGGGCTTGGAAAGATCCACAGAATCCCTGAGGTCTCCCACCGTCACCATCACCACCCTCATCATCACCGCAGCTTTTTTTGGTTTCGAAGGTTCGTGTGAGCATGTCGGCCAAACGTACCAAGGGGATTGACTTACCAAACGATGTCTCATACGATCTCTTTTCGGATCCCGTGCAGGTCTCTAGTTGCAAACCTGGTGTGCTATGGAACGGTCCTGAGGTGACCAAGCAAGGCTTGACGAGTTCATGGGCATTGGTATCAAAGCAGTTCAACTTGATCAATGGCATAGTTGATAGATCAGGAGGGTTGGTGCCTAATCAAAAGTTGTTTCAAAAACAATTTGACGCGTGGTTGACCAGAAACACCATGACCTGGAGCTACACTGACTCAGATAAATCCATATACGGCTTGCGTGTTATGATGATGTCGTTGCAGAGTATTGCCCGCACCACCAATCGAGCACCGAAAGGTCACGGCCAGCTCCAGATCATCATCGACAAGATGGCTGCCTGCAGGGACATCGACAAGAGCAAATACAGAGCTGATGATCATCATGATGATGAAGTCGTGGGGAATCCCGTCCCACCCAAGCGTAAGGTCCCGCTGGTCGATGTCCCCAGCACCGATGAGGAGACCACTATCGAGAAGCGCCTTTTGACATCGACGAGCTCGAAGCTAAGCTGTTCTGGAAATCAAGTGGAAAATCCAAACAGGTTGGTGGCATGCCGCTGACAGCTGACACGTTAAAGGCCTTGGCATCTGCACCACCGCCTGCACCCACTCCACGCGACTACATTGCCATAAGCGGCAAGGGCAAGAAGACCAAGGCAGACAAGACGGGCGACGACAAGAAGGTCGACCAGGGCACGACGGGCTCCGAGGTGAAGAGGAGGCGGATCACGTCCAAGCGCCCTCCGACTGAGACATCAGTCATCGAGGCGAACCGCGACAAGCTGACCAAGGAGGACTGCACAGGGACATAACACATGACAAATATGAATCCAGAAACGTGTTGGAAAACATGCATGGCTAATTTCACGGCCACGTTTCAGTTACACAAAAACCACAAGTGAAACATGAAACATGTATGTTTCATTTTTCATTTTATGTTTCAGCTTTTGTGTTCGTGAAAACCATCGGTGAGGAAGGCGAGCGGGGACGGCGAGGGGGAGGGGGACACGGAGGGGAGGGGGGAGAGGGGAAGGGGGGCTGGTCGGGGAAAACCCTGGAGGAGGTGAGGATGTGGGAGGATGAGGAGGAGGAGGAGCAGGAGGAGGAGGAGGAGGAGGAGGCACCCACAATGCGAAGTAAAAAACTAACTCTGCTAGAAGAAAGAGGAGGAGGAGGAGGAGGAGGAGGAAGGAGGGAGCAGGAGGAGGAGGAGGATGGCAAGGAGGATGAGGAGGTAGAGTTTTGTTTCAAATCGGTTTGAAAAAAAAAAAAACGAATGCGGAGGAGGAGGAGGAGGAGGAGGAGGAGGACAGGGATGAGGAGACGGAGGAACGAAGTTCAGGCATATCTAAACTGCACCGCGACGTGCGGCGCAATTTCGATATGTGTTTGGCGGGGCGGCTCCCGAGGATGCGGAGTCCGACTTCTTCAGCGACCTCCTTGACTTGGGGAAGCTGGGG